ATAGCATCATTGGTGACCCTGTACTTTCAAGAACTTTTAGAATCTCACTGGATTAAAATCACTTGTGAGACACACTGCAACTCCAGGGTCTGACACAGTAGGTATTTTTATTAATGTGCTTAATGTGTACTAATTCCAGAAAAGAAAAAAAATGTATACACTGAGTCACATACTTCCAAAATCTCTGATCAAAAATTACTATTTTGTCTTAGGAGTTCATGTCACTCTATCAGAATCAGGTCTGACTATTAATATAATGTTAGTGTGATGAGAAATATATGAAGTCTCTCAGCAGTTGCAAAAGGAGAGGTATACACAATGACTTCTTCTGGAAGTCAAAAAATAAAGTGTTGTGATTTGTAGGTCCAAGTTAGCATATTTGCCAAACCTAAATGTTATGTTTCCAATGAGTCTGAATGTGGGTTGGTCAAGGTTCCCAGAGAACAACAAATAGGATGTATGCATTCACAGATTCATGACAAAGAATTGGCTCATATGATTATGGAAGCTGACAAATCCCAAGATCTGCAGAGTAAATGGGCAGGATGGAGATCCAGGGGAGCCAAAGGTGTACTTCCAGTCCAAAAGCCTACAGGCTTGAAATCCAGAAAGGGCCAATGTTTCCCTTTGAATTCTGAGACAGTGAAAAGTTGTTGTCCACATTTGAAGAGCATCAGACAAGAAGAATTCTCTTGCCTGGGGGAGGGTCAGCCTTTTTGGCCCACTCAGGCCTTCAACTGATTGGACAAAGCTCACCCACACTGGAAAAGGCAGTCTGCTTTACTCAGTGCACTGTCATCTGAAAAGCCCTCACAGAAGCATTCAGAACAATGCTTGACCAAACATCTGGATATCTTTTTGGCCCAGTTAAGTTAATACACAAAATTAAACATCCCAGAGTAGAATCAATACTTTGTTTTGAGTTAGTCAGCTTTTCGTTGCTGTGACAAATACTTGAGAAAAACAACTTAGAGGAGGAAAGATTTATGTTGGCTTATTGTTTCATAGGTTCAGTCCATGGTCAGCCTGCTCCATTGCTCTGGGCCTGAGTGAGGCAAAACATAATGGCAAAAAGTTGTAGAGAAGGAAAGCTTTTCAGCTAATGGCAGCTAGGAAGCAGAAAGAGTGAAAGGAAAGAAGAAATACCCTTCCAGTGCACAACCCCACTGACCTCCTTCCAACTAGGTCAGGCACAAGAAATACCCTTCCAGTGCACAACCCCACTGACCTCCTTCCAACTAGGTCCAAACTTCTATAGCTTCCAACCTCCCAACAGTCCATTTAAGTGGACTATTTAATTATTAATCCATCAAATGCATTAATACACTGATGAGGTTAAGAGCCCTCATGGTCTAATAATTTCCTAAAGCCCCACCTCTGCATTGGAGCCCCATCTTCCCATTACTGTATTGGAGACCAAGGCTTTAGAACATGAGACTTTGGGGGACACTCCAGATCCAAACAGAATACAAGTAATGATCGATCATTTAATGAGTACACAACATGTACCCAATTGTCTCCAGAAAGCATGACTGTCCTACCAAAATGAGATCAAAAAGATGTGGGGGCAACACCTCAGAAAATTATTTCAGAACACTGTGCAAAAGGTAACCACATCCTGGAGTCTTATGGTCCTATAAAGGGTCTTAGGTGAGAAGCAGCACACATTCAATGTCCAAATGAAGGAAAAATGCCAGTGGTGTCCACTTACCTGTGTCCTGCCTAGAGAGAACTGAAATTGGGCAAGGACATAAAATTCTTATCTACATACTCAGAAAAAGGAACTAGGAGTTCTTCCTCATCAATTACTCTTATTCTTATCATTATCATATCCATTCTTATTGTTACTATTGGCACCGCAAAGAACACTGTGTATTTTCCCATTTTCTCCCTGAAATATCATCTTGTTTACCCCTTGAGAAAAATCCCTGTGAAGTGGGTAGTATTGACACACCATTTATTGGGAGCTTTCAGAATTTGGGTTTCCTATCCAAAGACATAGTGGCAGTTCCAGAATTCCAATGCATTCCAGTCAACAAGAATAACCCCACAGAACTGCAAGTTAGTATAATCACTTTAGAAAGCAGTATGGAGAGTCCTTAAGAGATTAGGAATGGAACCACCATATGACCCAGCTATCCACTCCTTGGTATTTATCCAAAAGAACTAAAATCAGTATACAATAGTGATATAGGCACATCAATATTTATAATGGCACAAATTGCAATAGACAAGATATGACCCAGTTTTGTTGCCTATCAGCAGACAACTGGATAAGAAAAATGTGGTGGTTCATTGAGTAGAACACAATGGAGTTTTACTCAGCCCTAAAGAAGAATGGAAGTATGTCATTTGATAGTAAGTAGATGGAACTGAAGAACATTGTTCTAAATGAAATAAGCCAGACTCATAAAGTCAAGGGTGGAATGGAAGAAAGAGACACAGAGACAGAGACAGAAATAAAAAATAGAATCTCATGGAAATAGAAGAGTGACCAAGAGAGCAGAGGAAGGGGGTCAAAACAGGAAGAGCAAAGGAAGACCTTGGAAAGAAATGGAAAACAAAATCTACCAAATTACACTATGTCCACATATGAATATACCACAATGAATCATGCTTATATGTAAGCATAATGCACTAACCAAAATAATATAATAATAATAAAAGGGAGAGCAATACAGTAGAACTAGCAGATTGGGGGAAGCAAGGAGGAGAGAGGAAAGGGCAGGTACAGTGGAATGAGGTAGATCAAATTACATGCATGTACAAATATGGCATAAAGAATCCCACTATTATATATAATTATATGCACCAACAAAAAAATTCAAAAGAAAGCACCCCCAAGCAACTCCTGCTTTCCCACCTGAAACACTGCCTAGAATGGGAAGAAAAATCACTCTATTTTATTTTTCCATTTGAACGTGGATCAGTGATGTAGTCTGTGAGAAAAATTTGCTAGGAACCAATAACTAACTAGTCTTGGCAGTTGGTGCCTGTAGTTCTCTGCTCCCCTCTCAGAGCTGAGTATCCAAGGTGACTCAAAAGACATCAGCTCATTGCAAAATGAGCCAAGTGCTTTCCTCAAGCTGGTTTGGGTGAAAGCCAAAGTTGTGTTTCAAATCATTTTCTTTCAATAACAAACCTTATTTATCCTTAAGTTGGAGGTGTTTATTGTGAGGAAATAAGCTGTGTGGGTGAAAACAGGAGCTATTGTGTTCCCACATCAAATTCTAATTACACCTCTTTATGCGGTTGGCCTTGGCCAGGGGTTCCTCAAGCCTGGGCCAGCACAGCCCAGCCAGAGCTGCTTGGAGGAAACCTTCTGAGTAAGTCCATTTGAGTCAGGTTTTCCTGTGCTTACGGTTTGAAGGATTCTAACAGACCTCCCTGTCTTTTTTTTTTTTTTTTCATGTGGTGCTGAGGATGGAACCCAGGGCCTTTCACATGCTAGGTGAGCACTTTACCACTGAGCCACAACCCCAGCCCCCAGACCTCCCCATCTTTACACTTTTCTTATTTTCTTTTGTTTTTGTTTTCATTTGTTTCCTGTTGTAATGCATTACCTGGGTCTCCTCGACATCTAGACAAATCACAATGATAATGCTATTATCGAATCTCAAAGTAGCTGCCCCTCTTTTGCCTCCAACTTTCAAAAACAAAAACAACATAAGATAATTCCCAAACTGGGAGTAAATTAAATATTTCTAAAGCAAATTCAATATTATTAATGCAATTTAAAAGATCAACAAATCCAGGTCTTATCCTGGTGCTTTGGTTTCATTTCTGATTCTGATTCTATTGGATCTGGGTCCTGGCATTTAAACCTAACTTTTCTCTATTCTCTAAAATAGTTTATCTCTCTCACTTAATCTTTATACCTTCACCATATCCTTCAAAAAACTTCTGACAGTTCACACTAAAAAAATACATCAAAATGGTGAAATATACAAAAGTTTAATCATGTCCCTTGTCCCAGCATAAATAAACACACAAAAAAATAGATAATCAAAAATATTGAAAATATGGTTATTCTTTCTAATAAGAATTCTTAATTGCTCTATTAATTACTTAATATGACACTTCAAGACTTAGGAGAGGAAATCTACCAAGTTCCACACTAACAAAATGTTGGAGATATGGTAGGCAAGTTTGAGTTTTCATATACTTCTGGAAGCACATCTCTGAAATGCAAGCCGGGAATGTCTAGTAAAAATGAAAACTGAGCTTACCCCAGGACCCAGCAACCGTATTCTGGATACTCTAAAAACCCCGTCTCTGAGATGCATGCACAAAAACATAAGCCTCTGGTGTGTTTTTCTAAAGCACTACTTGGAACAAGTAAAAACTTGAAATGACCTAAATATCCACCAATAGTGAAATGGACAATGTGTGATATATCCATAGAGTAGAAAGCTATATATTAGTTAAAATCAACATGCTATTCACATGTTATCAACAAGGATAAATCTTAAAAAGCAAATGGAGTTTGGGGGAGAGAAGATGGGGGCTTATTGTTTAATGGGCATAAAGTTTCAGTTTGAGAAGAAAAGTTCTGAAGATGGTCGGGGGGTAATGGTTGTACAACAATGTGAACTACAGAATACTACAAAACTAGACAGTCAAAGGTGCTGGAATGGTAAATTATATATTATTCCAAGACATATATTTATCATATGTATGTATATTTTACTCCAAGATGGAAATGCTAATTAACCTGATTTGATCATACACATTGTATACATTGATTAAATTATAATACTTTACCCCATAAATAAGTATACATATGCCAATTAAAATTAAAAATTCTTAAAAAGATTTAAGAATTTTTGAAACACAAAATTTTATTTATTAATAATTTAATATATTTTTCTGTATATTTTAAATATTTCACTCAATCAATTAAAGAGAAATTGACTTTTCCCTACAAAATAAAACCAAAATCAGGCAAGCAGACATCTTTTAAAATATGGGTTGTCCGAGAATTGGACCCATTTGCTTACTTGAATGCAATATACATGGTCCCTCACTGGTTCTTGCCTTCACCAGATGGAGCCCTGTGTGGGAGGAAATAGAGACAGAAGTTGAGTCCACCAGGCATTGCCCAGAGGGCAAACAGAACCCATTGACAGGATGTGAGGGAAGCACAACAGGCTAATGGAGAAGGAGGAACTGATGAGCCCAGGCAGCTGACTCCTCTGTGCCTGGCCATCCTAGGGGCAGCCTGTCCTCCTCAGCAGAGCTGAAATGGAGCTGTGACCCTTTGCTGCTTTCCCTGCTCACCTTCAATCACTCAAGGACCACCTGCATGACTCACCAGCCACCAAAGGACCTGGATTTCAGTGAATGTAGCCAGGAAACCTTCTAAAAATGAAACCATGATGAATTAAAGATGCAAGTGGCCATTCCTCTTATTGGAATGATCCTTCTTTAGTTGCTGTCAGGTAAACATCTACATTGTGCCGCAGCCCGGCTGGCTGGGCAAACTAACCAGGGGGTGATGAGGAACTTGTTTAGATTGATACAGCAGGAGTGGGAGCCGTTTATTGTAGCACAGGAGCGGTATTTATACATTCCACACAGCTTATCTAATTAACATAAACTAGATACAGCAGTCAACCAATCAGGAATCTCCACACTTAATGGCTCACTTTTGTTACTTCTCAAACCACTCCCTCTGGCATTTTGCCAGGCACCATCCAGACTTGTTTACGAACTCTAACATTCCCCTGGCAAAATGCCAGGTGCCATCCTGACTTGTTTACAGACTCTAACAACATTGGGCTAGAGAAGGCAAAGAGGAGTCCTCAGTGCCCATCAGGACACCAGACCTAATATTGCCCAGTCTGAGAGCTGCCACAGCATTCCACAGCACCCAATGGCCCCCCGGGCTTCCCTCTGCAGCCCTCTACCCTCAGCTTCCATACTTTCTCTCATGCCTGGTTGTAGAAGCAGGTGACTGAGTGACTGCAGAAGTCCCCTACCTACCAGTGAAACAGGCACTGAGGCCAGCCTGCACTCTTTTCCACTTGGGTTAACCTGGCATCCTTGTTAGACAGCTCACAACCTGGTCCAGGGTCAGCTAATTTCTATAATAAGCAGGTACTTCAGGCTTTGCAAGCCATTTGGTCTGTCTCAGTTGCTCAGCTCTACTGCTGTAGCATTACCAGCAGTCTTATGCAATATACAAATGGTTATCACTGTGTGCCAATAAAACTCTATTATACACTCTAAACTTGGAACCTCATAATTTTTGTGTCATGTGATATTAATCTTTTGATTTTTTTCCCCAACCTAAAAAAAAATTTTTTAAACCTATACAAAAACAAGTAGCCAGACAGATTTTCTCCAAGAGCCACAGTTTGCCAACCTCTCATCTAAATACCCAAAAGGATAATTGAAGCCAACCTTACAAGATGCCACCCCAAGGCACGTGAGCTTTGGTAGGAGTGACTCTGCCAACAAGAAAGAGGAAAGTAGAAAGAAAAGAAAATGTTAACCTTTCCCTTAAAAACCATCTACTCCTCTATGTCCAGGCTACTGGCTCACACTCCAAACAAGAGCAGCAACTGAAGCAGAAGCTGCCAAATCCCTGTTGAGAGCCACAGCCAAAGGGGCCCCAGCAAACTTTCAGACTGCCAGCTGATGATTGGCTCACAGCGGCCCCAGCAACATCTAGCTGATTGGCTCCTCTGCGGTGATGCTCATTGGGCTGTTTCCCCGCCCTTTCAGACTACAGAGCTGCTCATTGGGGGACTTTTTTTGGCTCCGCCCACGCGACCCAGCCAATCGGCCTCAAGAGCAGGAGGAATGGGGGAGGTTGAGAGGCTTGTGGGAAGCCAGTGGTGGCAGTTGGGGCTCTGAGGGTTTTTCCTGAGGAGCTGTTTTGTTTGGTGTGTGTCGTTCTAAAAATAAAGTTTGTTTCTTTTGACAAGTGGCTCCTGAATTGTGCCCAGCCAGACTGCGGCAAATCCCCACATTAACAACTCACTTTGCTGATGCTTCCCAGAGCCCTCATGGAGTTATTCATTTGGTCCTGCCAACAGTTGACAAGGTAGGTACTAAAGAGAAGACAGGCAGAGACATGATAATGAACTTGCCCAAGACCACAGACAGCATTTGAACACAGCCAGTCTGGTCTCAGGCTCTGTCCTCCCCACTGCCAGGTGAACGTTTCAGGAGGCTCCTGTTTAGGAGTATGGTATCGTCCTCAGTGACCCTGTGAGCCAAACTGGGTCACACATATGGGCAACTGTCTTTTTTCCCCTCCTGTCCTTAAGCCTCTAGTCAAGTATCACTTCTGCCCTGGACCTTATGACCCTGTACAGAAGGGGACTGATATTTCTCTCCTGAAAAGGACCAGGGACCCCCACCCCACTGCCTGCTTGGCCTTTTACCTCTGCACTGTGACACCTTTATAAGTACAACCTCAAAACAGGGCCAGCAGAACAACTGTTACAGAACCACATGACCAAGGGGCCTTTGTCCTAGATTTATGAAGAACCAAGCAGATCTGTGTGAACAGTGAATGTGACGCAGGACCACAAGACTCTTTCTTGAAGACTGATGAGAATGACCAGAACAGCAACCCTCTTTCTCTTATAATGTATTTCCCTGGAAATCGGAATCCTGATTTTTTTGGAATATTAATTTTGCTGAACTTGGCCTTGACTATCCAGATGATATGTCACTGTTTATTCTTATCAAAAATAAGATTTTAAAGCTTCATGGAACTGTCCAGGGTGAGGCAATAAAGAGTGGCCCAGCCAGGACTGCAGCCCAGAGGCCCCTGGTCATCCTGTACAGCCAAGCTCCTGCCTTAAAGAAGACGCCTACCTGGCCCCAGCACTCCAGGCCCACACCTGGAGGGCCCAGAGGGGACAGGATTTAAAGCAGCCTTCTGCCGTGGGGAGGAACCAGGTCCAGGAGAAAAGGAAGAGAGAGCTGGAGCCATGCTGAGTTTCAGGGGGTCTCATTGCAGTGGCACCCCTTCTCCCAGCCCTTTATGTATGGACAAGAAGATGACCCTCCAAACCTCCCTTGCTGTCACCTCCCATGTCAAGTCAGCTGCTAAGGCCCATCAGTGTTCACTCCTAAATGTGCCTCAAATCCACCCACGTTTTCCTTCTCCCTCAGCTGTCATCCAAGTCCAACCACCATTCTGCCCAGACCAATGCAGCAGCCTCCTAACTAGACTTTCATGTCCCCTCCTGCCTCCAGGATCCACTTGGAGACCAGAGCCATCTTAACACATAAATGGGGGGGGGGGGGGCAATGACATCTCCCTTAAAAACTCAAGAAAAATGAAAATGTCCTTGCCTTTTCTCCATGTGTTTGTATAGGGTGTGAGCCTACCCAGGACACTGCCCTGTCTCCTGCTGACTCCTCCTTTTCCCCAGGTCTCCATGTGGCCACTTCCCTCAGTGAAGCTCCTTCCATCCCTCAATCCCTCAGTCAGTCTCTTTACAGCTTTCTACTTTCCTTTATAGCACTTATCTCTTCCTGTTACCCATTAGAGTCCAGCCTCAAGAGGAGGAAAATGTCAGTGCTCAACTTGGTCCTCTGGCCCATTCAGGTGGCTCCTGACCTCAGGTTTGCATTTCCGTGCCTGGCAGTTTTCTCCAGAGTGGCAGATCTGCACCCCCTCGTGCATGCACACAGCCACCACCTGGAAGCAACTGCTGATAGTGAGCAGCAGCCCTCTCCAGTGTAAGTGCACAAACCCTGGGCTCCCTTGCCATTCAAAGGACAATGCTGATTCATGTATGTATGTGTGTGGGGGGCGGGGAGGGTTTCCAAAAGTTTCCTCCCAGGACTGAGCTATAGTTGCCACAGAGCCACATGTAAGTAACACACCAGTGACTCACCACCTCCTCTCCCCGCCCCCCCCCGCACTTCCCCTTTTCTTACTTGTGCTTTCTGGCATCACCTCCCAGGTAAACGGCTTAGTGCTAATTCAAAATCAGATTCTCAGAGTGCACTCGCACCCTGGTGCCTAGCTCAGTGACAGGCACAGAGGGCGAGAGGGAGGGCTTTTGAGTTGCCTCAACACCAGCCTCTGGTCACTGATAGTGAGAGTTGATGGAGTGTCCCTTCTTCCCATTGGTCCCTCAGTGACCAACCTCAGGCCCTGGAGAAATGACCACAAGCCTCTGTTCGCTGAAATGGTCTCTCTCCCATCCTACTCTCTTTTGATTGCCCCTTCTCATTACCTCTTCAAAATCAAATCACTATGCTGGTTATAAATAAACAGGCTCATACAGTCTGCTAATCAGCCATGCGCAGTCTTATTTGGAAGGAATTCTAATTGCTCTTGAATTAATCAAATGAAGGCCAATGAAATTTTCACAACAGTTGTGTAAAGGAGAAATTCTAAAATAATGAATATGAATAAAAACCCAATTCCACCAGGTTTATGTGTGTCATCACCTCCAGTGATAGTGCTATTGTTCCATTCTACAGATTGGGAGACAGGATTCCAGCAAAGCTGGGGCATCTGTCCAGGTCCCTCACAGAGGTTTGGCCCATGTCCCCTACCACCATGCTCATGTCTCTTGTTTTCTATGTCATCATTCACTAAGAATCAGAGTGTTATGGTTTATATATGAAGTGTCCCCACTCATACATGAGGCAGTGCAGAGATAAAATGTTAGATTATGAGAGCTGCAATCAGGGGCCTCGTCCACTGATATGGATTCGCTGGGTAACAACTGTAAGCTGGAGGTAGGAGGTGACTGACACGTGCCTTTGGAGTTTCTATTTTGTCCCTGGTGAGCATAGCTCTTTCTCTCTGCTTCCTGATTGCCATGTCCTGAGCTGCTTTCCACCACCATGCACTTCCACCATGATGCTCCACCTGACCTCAAGCCCAGAGCTACGGATTCAGCTGACCACAAACTGTTCAGAGGTTCTTCTGAAACTATGAGTGAAAATAAACCTCTCCTGAACTGAACAAGCACTTCACTGAAGAAGAAATACAAATGGTCAAAAATATATGAAAAAAATGTTCAACTTCCCTAGCAATTAGAGAAATGCAAATTAAAATTACACTGAGATT